TTTTCAATGGTTGATCTAATTTTTCTTACAATAAATCACTAGGAACTTCTCAAAAAATATTTGAAATAATTACTTGTAACACTGCACATACAAAATAGTTATTTAGCTTATCATTAAACCATATCAAATCTCACTCATCAAAATCACAATAAAAACCTGGGCAGTGACTCGAACAAACTGGGGCGGATTTACCTTAGGCCAAGCGGTATCACGTGACACCGCTTGGTCAGAAATTTATATTAAATATGTATATATAAGGGAAAATTTCACATAAGAACAACTGAGATCCCTACCTTTTTATTTTATAGCTCATATTTCAATCTACAACCAACTAGCCCAAAAATAATAGGCTAAAGATTCAATATCCAACTCCAATAGGTTCTCAAAATTACTATTTAATTTTTAAAAAGGATTGCTGAAACTTTTAAGTTAATTTTCGAATCAGTAACTGTAAACCAAATATTAGTTCAACAAACTAAATCCATCTAGATAGTAAAAATTAAATTTTTAACAAGCTGAAATATGTAGGTTTAGATTTCGAATTTGATTTTGTGAGAAATTTGGAGTCGGTATTATCTAAAATTGTTAGAAACAATATAAGGAGGTTGTATATAAAATTTGAAGTCATTTAATGGAGATTTGGACTGATTTTGAACAAGAATTGCAACTGAAAATCGTGGAAAAAGTTCGTCTACAGACGTTTGTATAAAGGTATATAAAAGCGTATAATAGTATATAAGATGTATTTATATACTCATACACACTATTATACAAGATTATACATAATTATACAAAAACTAACTTCGTCTTCTTCATTGCGTTTTTTCTGAAATTTAACTCAAATCTTGCTCAAATCTACTCCAAATCACTTCAAATTTAAATTTTGAACTCCTTTTGATATTTTCAATCAATTGGAACAACACCCAATCCAAACAACTAACAAACTCAAAAAAAATTATTTTTGAAACCCAAGCTTTGAATGGCCTTCAATGGTGGAATGCTGAATCTTTAATTTTTTTTACATTGCAACCAGGTGACACAGGGGAGAAGCAGTAATGCGGACAACTCCTTGAAGCATATGTAGAAAATGTGAGAAGAAAAGAGAGTGAAGGCAATGTTTGTGAGAACATAAATTTAACTCCATAGCTTTTAGAAGCAATGGTTGAAAGAAAACAGAATTTGAATTTTCTATTGTTTTCAAAATATGTATAATATAGGCTATGTCAAATAAAACTTAAAAATATGGGCCATTTTTTGTTATGGTGTGAAGTCTAAGTGTATTTTCTTATAATTTTTTCTATATATAATTAAAAGACAGAAACAAAATACAGTAAAAAAACTTCAAGTGACACCACTTGAAACAAAAAACTGTCTAGCTAAACTGGTCCGACGCCTTGTTTTTCTAGTATAGGTCGTGAAGCTTCATTTATTGTCGAACTGCTCACTTCTTAAAAGCACGAGAAATTTTATTTTGAGTGAGATATGCCATGTAATATTTGAGTGAGGGCATTAATTGCTTGCCAAATGGCACCTGTGGGACCGCAATTAATTTAAAACTAAAAAAAATACTCCCTCTCTCTCCATTCACCAAACCGTTCCCCAGTGCCCCAACCCCCCTCCCCCCAAAACGCGCTCCTCTCTCTTTCTTCTTCTTCCTCCTCCTCCCATCACCATATAGAAAAACAACCCATCTACTATTATCTTTTTCGGTTTCAAAAAATATTTCAAGTTGCTCTGTATTTCAGTCTTTAAAAACAGCTTGAACACCGTAGAAAATTAAACAAAGCTCATGATTCGAAACTTTTTCGGTATTTTTAAGTTTTCTAGACCTAACCCATCAAATTAGAAATCAATAAAAAAAAGTGAAATATTTTGTATATATACACAAGATTAGAGAGAAACATACACGTGCAAAAAAAAGGTAACTTTTCACATTAGTAGATCGATAATTTGGGGAGGGACTATATTAATTTTACTAATAATTGTTGAACCCCAGTAAATAAAAGACTCTTTCGTTCTTAATAGAGGGGACAAAGATACATGGCTGTTGTGTTTGAATTTTTGAACATAAAAGTTTCATTAGTAGATTGTGAAATTGTGAAAAGAATATGAGGAGATTTGACAGAGGGGGTGTATTGGGAGGAAGAAGAAAGTGGAAGATAGAGAAGCGGGGAGGGATGAAAGGGTGGTGGGGGGACTGGGAACGTTTTGGTGGAGAAAGAGAGGGAGTATTTTTTTTTTTAGTTTTTCATTAATTGAGGGAAGAAGGGATTAGAGTATTTTGTTGCTTGCTTCTTCAGAAGAAACGGGAAGAAGGGAAAGGGGAAAGGGAAGCTTAAAGGAGGAGAGAGGTTGGTAAGGCAATTGACAAATGGGTGGACGGGTAATAATTTTGGTTGAGTTAGGTATGTATAGTAATTATTATTGGGTTATTATTTTAGGTTTTGTGGGCAGTTAGTGTAGTTTCCTCAAATAAATGAAGAAGTCTCGGAACATTATGAACACTTTCGAACAAAAAGAAATAGTACAAAATCAATGCCCAAATTATTAGTTTTTTTAAAAGGATGCTAGTGGGCGAATAATCAAGTATAGTACCAAACATTTTCATAATTGAGAAATCTAAAAATTTATTGGTAAATCACCTGAAATGTAGTGGAAGTAGCCTCAACTTTGATCCTTCTGTCAGTATTGAACTGGTTGGAAACAATGCTCTAAATTTGACTTGAAGTTGTCGGAATCCCATTCCAATTGGTTCCACCATTTTGATTCTCCTCTTATTCCTTTGACGTTCTTGGAAGTTTGAATAGACAGAGGCAGTTTCTTTATTTGGTTGCAATTTGTCAGGCTAAGCTCATCCAGGTGTTCCCACATATTCTCTGGCTCGCCTAGAGTTCTTAATTTTGGACAGCTACTCAACAGAAACTTCCGAACTCTTGGAATTTCTGAGTTGACAAGTGTCGTCTGACTTGAGCCGCATTGCACAAACAACTCTACCAGCTCAGTACAATAGTGAATTTTAATATGTTCCATGTGATTTGGTACAGAAAAAGCTCCACCAACGTTAAACAGACATCTCAATCTATGACAATCCGAAATATCTAGTCTGCATAATTTAGAAAATCTTAGACCCAGAAGATGACTGATATCAGATACACTCTCTAAATTATTTATCCCGGCGAGGCAGAGATATTCCAGATTTGGCAGAGGGTCAAACCGTCCGCTTCCTTCTTCGGCTGGTTTGAAATCACAATCACAGTAATGTACTATAAATTGTTTTATTCCACTAAAACTGTTGTATGCAATCAACTTCCTGAGACCCATGCAGTTAACCAAGTACAAATTTGAAGCAAACTGCAACATGCCTGAGAGCTCTCCCTTACTGAAAATTTCACAATTGGAGATAGTTATAGTCCTTGGTGAACTGTAGAATTCTACAGGCATCCAAGTGAAATCTTCCCCAACTACAATGTGAAAACTTTTCAATCTAGACATCCAGGTGTGGTCTCTATTAGAAACTGATGACCTATCCAATCTGATGTAAAGAGAGGTCAGCTTCTGTAGAGAGGAGAGCTCATCAAAACAAGTTGATAAAAGACGGCAACCCAGCACATCTATCATTTCAATGCTTGCCAACTTGAGAAGAATTCCTTGGTCGATGCTCTTCAAATGAATTGCAGTTAAACAACTCAGATCTGTCAACTTGTCCATTCCTTGCGGCAGACGATGTAACCTTATATCATCACAATCAAGCAATTGCAAATTGCAAAGATTACCAATAGGTGGTAACTCTGTCAACCCGCGGCAATCTATTAGTATTAGAGCACGTAGTTGATATAAACTATTGATGGAAGAAGGCAGTGCTCTAATATCAGTTCCACTCAGATTCAAAACTCTTAGGGCTGGAAATGCCAAAAAGAACGTATCGGGAATTTCCGCAAGGCCACGATTGTCTTGCAAAAGTAAAGTTGTTGTCTCTGGGCATTCCATGAAGGAATCAGGTAAACGTTCAATTTTGTTGCTTACAAAAGACATTCTCTTGACAGAAGCTGACATTTTAATATGTGATATCTCAGACAATCCAAGTCCAGCTTGAATAAGAGAGTTGTGCTTCCCCAAGGAATTATCTATCCATATAGCAACATCGCGAACCACGTCATGCATCTTTACAGAATCCCACTCATGGCCTTGTAGTAAGCAGGCATCTTTTAGAATCTCAATCATTGTAATTCCCCTGTTGTAGGCTTCTTCATATGTGTTACGTTCTCCAAGGAACCCCTCCGCCCACCAACAATGTATGACATCATTTGGTAAAATAGCCGCTGGATATAAGGAGCAATACAAGAAACAACTTTGAATGTCACCTCCCCTTTTGTTCACATGTTTGCTTCTTTGCTCTGAGGATAATTCAATATCCTGAGATTCTAAAGAATCAAAACTCCACTTAATGACCTTGTAAACATTATCTTTTACATTTGTGTTGTGAGGTTCACACATTCTAAGTGATTCCAAAGCTCGACCCTCTTCTTGCCTCTCATAGATGCTCCGATGACAGTGATTGCTAAAGGTAATCCATCGCACTCCTTTGCAATTTCCTTTGCAACTGGTTGAATATGCTCCAGATTGGCAATATCTCCCGCATTTTTGACAAACATTTGCCAAGATTCATCTTCATCAAATGTCAACACCTTCATTTCGGTGTCTGTTTTCATTTGCCTACAAACATCAACAAAACGAGAAGTTAAAATTACCTTGCTTCTTGCGGGAACTTCAGGTTGGGGCACACCTACATGATCCAAATTTATAGCTTGCCAAACATCATCGAGTATAAGAAGGAAACTCTTTTCTTCCTTGAGCCTCTTATGAATTATGCCGGCAATGCGTACAACGCTTTCCTCACTGTCTACCTTTAGGTTTAATCTGTTGGCAATTTGTGCTTGAACCTTTCTTATGTCTATTGGCGGTTTGGGCACTGTAACCCATATCACAACACTAAAAGACAGTTTAGAGCTTCACGTCTTTAGGAGCTCATTGTTCAGATTCTTCACCAAAGTCGTTTTGCCGCTCCTCCCATTCCCCATACACCAATGATGCATACCTGAAAGGATTCAAATTACCCAAAAAGAAATTTACCCACAAGTCATGGATGGAAAATTGATTATAAAGAAGAATTTTAGCAAACTAGAGCAAAAAATTGGTTTAAGTTCAACAATTAGTTTACCTTATCATCTTCTAATAGTTGTAGGATTTCGTTGAGATTTCTTGTTGCTGTTGACTGGCCTTCTATTGATGGTCCTGGGATGTACTCCACTTTTTTCACCTGGTAATTTTCTACCACCAAACTGGATCCAAAATTTTCTCCCATTTTTTTATGCTCGGAAAGTTGATCTCGCATGATTCGTGCTTGAGTGGAAACTTGCGAGCGAAGACTGCAATTTGGACAACATTTATATGCAACCCTCTTAGCCGCTGCAATGTCTTCTTTCATAGATTCCCAGTCAGTCTCCAGCTTTTGAACATCTTCGACCCACTGGAGAACCTCTGGTTTTGGTTTATAGCCTTCTCCCTCAGCTCCTTCCACCTTCCCTTTGATATCATCTCTAAACTTTGTTAAATTCTCCATTTCCTCTCTTACACTTTCAACATTTGATGTGAAACGGACAGTATTTTCAATCTTAGGATAGATGCATTTACACACCTTCTTCCCCGCCTCAACAACAAAACCACCTACTGCATTAAAAATTATTTCCATTGAACAATTCCTGAGACTAAAATTTTCGCAACTAGACAAGAGTTTTTATTTTATATTTTGGACAGGAGCAATTTATTGATTGAAAGTTAATCATATGATCTAGGATTTTTGTCATTTATTGCACTTAATTTGCAATATACTATATGTAATCACCACTAATATTAACAATACAATAAAAATACGAAATTATAATAATTATATATATATACTATATTAAAAGTTGACATCAAATGATGAAAGATGACATAATTCTTCTAATCAAAGGGTGGCATGAATAAAAAAATCATGCAAAACAAAGACCATGAATTTTTTTTCTGAAGTATTCATAAGAATACGTGTTGATTAGAGTAACCATTAAAAGAATTAGATGGGTGTACATGGAGAGTTGAGAACACTCAATTATCTGTTTCATCGGTTATTTCTTTTACCAAATTAAATTTTTTATTAATATAACAATTTGAGAAAAAAAATGCTTTGGGCATTATAATTGGCAACAATATAATTTAGAGTTGTCCATGAATACGACACTTAGAATATGTTATGTAAGGGGATGCTAGCAGAGGCGGATCCAGGATTTTAAGTTTATGGGTTCCTGTCGCAATTTCAAATTAATATACAATAATAATTGGGTTCACAAATAGATATTTATAGATATTTAATAAATTTGTAAACAAAAATACAGAGTCTACGCAAAAGTTACTGGGTTCCCGGGAACCCGTATACTACACGCTAGATCCGCCCCTGGATGCTAGGCTTATGATTGAAAGCCAATATTGAATTTAGTGGAGGCTAATTTCAATGGAGCAATTAAGTTAAACGTAAAATTCAGGTGGAATTGAATAAATATTGTCAAGTTAAGAAGGTCCCGATTTATTCGGAATATAATTCTTATATTCATTCATTCCAAAGTCTAGGGGCTTAGTTTAGTTAGCTTTCTTTATTAGTTATGTATAATACAATATACTAATGTCGCCTTCTTTATTTTGAGCAGCATATTAATTATTATTAAATAGAAATAAGTAGCCGATGATTATAAATCTATATATCTATATATATATATGGCAAAAAAAGTGCTGACTTGGCACCTCTCTTTGGCCAAGAAACTCAATTATCTTTTTTCTCCCTTTTTTTTTTTTGACTTTTCCCATTCATTTCTCCATTTATCTTATTTTTAATATAGTCCAAAAAGTCTTTAAATGCAATTAGTCAACCTTTTACCCTCCACTATAACTGTCTTCATTATTAGATATCTTAATATGTATTTATGTATTCTTTCAAACTTTTTCCCTCCCCCACGTTGCTATAGCTTTGTTAGCAGCCAACTATAAATTAAAACAATCTACTTTGTTAGCAGCAATCTATTCTCTCTTTCTCCCGTATTATTTTTTCATGTTATAATTTTTGAACATATTTTTGGAGGTTTCAGATGGTAACTAATCAAGAACATCATCTTGAAGAAAATTTATAGTGAAGGCGAGCTCTGAGGATATATATAGGGTTCAAATGTTTGACGACTTTTGGTTGTAGGTGATGTATTGAGAGTTTAATTTTATTATAAGCCATTATGTAGAGCTTTGCGAGGTAGGCTCTTGCTGAGATTCAATTCTGTGAACGCAAAATAAGTTATCCTCTCGGTGGCATTACATGGTATATTTTCCTCTTTTTTATTTATTTACAATATATCATAGTGTCTCGATAATCAGTAATTCAGTATAGCATGTATTTTACCTCACCAATTGAAGCAATTTGATTGTTTTTACTATTAATGGCATATATTTTTTTTCGAATGTATTTGCTTTCCTGTCGTTTAAGTTATTACGCTTCAATAAGGTTCAAAAAATTCTATGTTACCTATATGTCTTCATTATCTAAATTACAATAAGAAAAGAATAAATAATCATAATTTAAAATTTGACTTCATTAGTATTTTTATTAGTTTGCAATTTATACTCCGTAACTTAGAATTTTAAAAAGAAATTAAAAGAAAGAAAAATTGATTTATTGAAAGATGCTTTGACTAAATAGATAACGCTTGTGGGGGATCGGAGATGATGAATCCATATTAGAGTGGTGGAAGAAGGTTTTAGGTGTTTTATGTGATGNTATATATATATATATATTGTAAATGACAGTCATATACAAGTTTAGATCTCCTGCTTATATACACTCATCATTAATTTGAATTGGATTTGATTTTAGGAGAACGTCGTATCAATGAAGTTCTTGAGAACGCAAATACGATGTCCATCACATCGTGAATTGAAGGTTTTATTGTTTTAATAGAGAAAAATAGAATAAATTAATGCTTGATTATTGTAAAAGGTAAATCAACATTGAAAAGGTATTTACATTTGAGAAGGCAATTCATATTTTGCTTTGTCAGATCTTGTGTACTTTATATTTATATCTTAAATAAGTAGTATACATTTATTCACACACATATTCACGCCACTAGATGTTTAACTTTATAGACGAAAATTTCTATTAGATGAATATGTTTCCATCTTATCCCAATTTCCCTCCACATTTTAGGTATTATTATGGTCCTTTCATTTATTTTGTGTGCGAAGTATTCTCAATTTTTGAGGTTTTACAAGTATTTTTTTTTTTTTTTTTTTTTTTTTTTGTTTATGTGAGGAGGATTCTTTCTTCTCTTTATTTTATTTTTGCTTAACATAATATCATAAAATACAAACTACTACTCTCTCTATATATATATATAAAGAAAGAGAAAACTAAAAGTTGTGTTGGATTTTTGTCTGCAATAGAGAACTTTTTGTTTGTTGATAGGGATTAATGATGATAAAACCATAAATAAAAAAAAATTAATTGTGTTACGACAGAAGATATACAAAAGATGAAACTAATCAAAGCGTACTACGTCCACTATCATTCATTATATGCTCTTGAGATCAATAAATTTGTTAAATCTCACTTTTGCTATTACATAAAATTTGATATTATTCCTAGAGATAAAATACTAGAATAAGAATTATATTTCAATGGCCAATATTAAGGATGCCTTTAAAAGTTTCACGGCATGAATTATCTCAAGACCATGAGTTTACAAATTAATTTTTATCTCTTTTAGGCTACTTCTTTAGTGTTTATTGACCTAGAAAATCGTATGACAAGGTTCCTAGAGAAGTTCTATGGAGAAGCTTGAAGGCAAAAGGTGTGTCGGTTCCCTACATTATGGCGATTAAGGATATGTATGATGGGAAAAAGACACGGGTTAGGACAGTAGGAGGCGACTCTGAGGATTTTCTGGTTGTTATGGGGTTACACCAAGGTTCTGCGCTCAGTCCGTTCCTATTCGCCCTGGTGATGGACGCGTTAACACATCACATTCAAGGGGATGTGCCATGGTGCATGCTATTCGCCGACGACGTAGTTCTGATTGATGAGTCGCGAACCGGTGTTAACGAGAGGCTGGAGGTTTGGAGACAAGCTCTTGAATATAATGGTTTCAAGCTTAGCAGGACAAAGACGAAATACCTGGAGTGTAAGTTCAGTGCTGAGCAGAGGGAAGTGGGCGTGGATGTGAGGCTTGAATCACAGGTCATCCCGAGTAGAGACAGCTTCAAGTACCTTGGGTCGGTTATCCATAGGGGAGGGGAGATCGACGAGGATATTACACACCCAATCGGGGTAGGATGGATGAAGTGGAGGTTAGCATCTGGAGTATTGTGTGACAAGAGAGTGCCACTGATACTCAAAGGTAAATTCTATAAAGCGGTGGTTAGACCGGCCATGATGTATAGGGCTGAGTGTTTGCCGGTTAAGAAATCACATATCCAGAAGATGAAGGTAGCAGAAATGAGGATGTTGAAGTGGATGTGCGGGCATAGTAGGATGGATAAGATTAGGAATGATGATATTCGGGAGAATGTGTGCGTGGCTCCCATTGATGACAAGATGCGGGAAGCAAGGCTCAGGTGGTTCGAGCACGTTCAGAGGAGAAGCCCATATGCTCCGGTAAGGAGGTGCAAACGGCTGGTGGTGGAGGGCTCGAGAAGAGGTAGAGGGCGACCTAAGAAGTATTGGGGGAGGTGATTAGGCAGGATATGGTGATGCTTCAGATTTTCGAGGACATGGCACTTAATAGGAATATGTGGAGGTCGAGTATTAGGATTGTAGGTTAGGAGGTAGTTAAGTCTTGTCTTACGCCATAACTTTGGGAGACTATTGAGGCCCATTGACCTGGTGACGTGGCAGGCCTTGATGAATAGGGATTGTCTTTGTCTTTTTTCACAATTTTTTGGAGTTTTCTCTAATTTATTCTCATTTACCTAAGACAAAAACCACAGTTAATTTATTAGAAAAACCCAAACGTTTCCTCTTTTTTTCACCGCCAGCCGTAACCCTACAATTTTTAACAAGGTCTTTCTTCTTCCTTACGATAATTCAAAACGATGATCCCTCTTCTCTCTCTACTATGAAGGAAAAAAAGTTGTTTCTGTTTTGTTTCATATATTTCTTTCTTCTAAGTTCGAACAACCCTTTTCTTTTGACTCCAATCTCTAGAAATCTATCTATCTCACTGTCAGAATTGCAGCAACCATCATCTGAATCGGAATTCAAAAGTTCCCATTTAAGTTGGTAAATTAAGAAGAAGAAGAAGAAGAAGAAGAAGAAGAAGAAGAAGAAGAAGAAGAAGAAGAAGAAGAAGAAGAAGAATCCTGGTAGCTTTTTTGTTTTTTTAAAATCTATCAAATACAAAAAGTTAATTTCTTCTAAAATTTCTGGACCGAAATGTCTCTTTCAAATCTGATATTCTTTTACTTTCTGCTCTCTTGATATTGGATTGTGTTTCTGGTATATGTCCTCTCCAAAGGTTCAAAATTTTGGTAGTTTGACTTCACTTTCTTGCTGATTCGACCACAAAGTGAAAGAGACTCGTCCTATTCCAGGAAAAGATTAACCATTATTATCATTTGTTGGTAATGTCTTTCTTCTCCCTTTCTCTTCTAAGTTACTTTTTTTATTAAGATCTACTTCTACTTAATTATTGTGCCTACTATCCGAATCTTTTTACTGAGACACTAACATAAACTTACGAATTTGGTAAGTTTCT